CGTGTCAGAGGTGACACACAAACTCATTTTTTTGGTTGATTTTTCTTTGTTAAATGGCATTTAAATATATAAAATAAATATCAAAAATATAAGTCTTTGTTTTACTATGGTTGCAAATATCAAAAAATTTATATATGTGACATGGCACCAGAGTTAAGTTAGGGTTTTTCAAAATGCTGACACGCCGAGCTCAAAAGGTTCGCCATCACTGGTCTAGATCAGGGGTGGGCAAACTTTTTGACTCGAGGGCCACAATGGGTTCTTAAACTGGACCGGAGGGCCGGAACAAAAGCATGGATGGAGTGTTTGTGTGAACTAATATAAATTCAAAGTAAACATTATTACATAAAAGGGTATGGTCTTTTTTTTTTTTAGTTTTATTCATTTCAAACGGGCCGGATCTGGCCCGCGGGCCGTAGTTTGCCCACGGCTGGTCTAGATCCACAATATCCAATAGAACTTTCTGCAACGATGAAAATATCTTAAACATCTTAAATCTGCACAATCCAATATGGTAGCTACAAGCCACACGTGCCTATTGAACACTTAGTAGATAATCTGAATTGAAAATGTTTTTGAAGACTAAGTTTGAAAAAAATAAAACATCCCATTAACGATTTTTAATTATTATCTCACCGAAGCTCCATGACAAGCCCATGAGGTGGATGTTATTATTCTACCCATTTACAGATGAGAAAACCAAGGTTCAGAAAGGTTAGGGAAAGTTGGACAAAGCAGACAACTAACCAGGGGCGAAGCCTGGCTTTGACCTGGGTCTGCGGGAGTGTAGAAGCCACACAACTTATAAACCACTATACATGGGGGACTGACCACTGCCTCCTAGGCACCTTTACTCTGGGGAGTTTTCTAGAAAGCCTTCCTGCTGGCTCCAGGCCAGCCTGTCGACCACGGTGCTGGCCTTGAGTGCCAGCTGACATTTGCTTTACCTGCTCACATCGGTCTGAGCCTCAGCCCCCACTGGATTGGAGCTGCTGTGCTCTGTCCATGCCCTGCAAACTCCAGCGTGACCAGAGGGCCTGTGACTCTGGCTGCCCTTTCCCCTCCCCCTTCTCTGAAACCTTCTTCCGGTGCCCACTAGAACCATCGGTACCTCTAGGATGCTGGTTCCCAAAGCCGCAATCTCTCTAAGAAGCCACGAACCCCTCCCTCCAGCCACTATTCTTTAAAAAAAAAATTGAGATATATTTGACATATATCATTATACTAGTTTCAGGATTTGATATGTGTCTATAATGCAAAATAAACACAATAAGTCTAGTTAACATCCATCACCACACAGTTACCCATTTTTTTGTGTGTGATGAAAACTTTTAAGATATTTTCTCTTAGCAACTTTCAAATATATGATATGGTGTGGCTACTTAGTCACCATCCCCAGATGCCATTCTTGACTCCTTGTATAATCTCAGCCTCCTGCACAGGCCAGCAGGTCCTGGTAGCTCCTGCCGAGGTCTACCCAGAGCCCACCTGCCCCTCTCCGCTTCCCCGCCACCGCCCTGGCCCAGGCCATGCTCAACTCCTGCCTGGATGTGGCAACAACCCCCAGGGCTCTCCCCTTTCCGCCCCTCAGGTTCCTCTGCCCACAGCAGCAAGACTGATCTTAAAACATAATTCAGATCATGCCACAACGTTATGTGACAGGGCTCATGCCTTATTCATCTCCGCAGACCACAGCCTGCAGCGATGTTTGTGGGATTGAACGTGAGGTTTCATCTTTATTGAAATACCCACCGTGGAGCTGACACCGAGGCAGGCGGACACTGGTACTTTCTTTGCTCCCAGCGAGTCTCATGTAGAAAAGGAGATCAGCCCTCCCCCCGCGTGTCAGGGCCAGTGCCCCGCCCCTCAGCTCTGCGCTGGCTGACGGCTACTCACATTTGGTGTGCCTGTCACACAGGGCCGACGCCCGCATGTCGCACAGCCGGATTGTCCCTTTGCTGCTGCTGTACACGAAGGTGTTGCAGTGATGGGGGTGGAACTCGGCCGCCGTGATCACCTCCGTGAGCTCCTCCATGTTGGCCGGCTTAATGTCCACGATGTCTGGCACCGAGAGTCAAGGAGCGGACGGGAGAGGTGTGAGTGGGGAGCAGGAGGTGGCGGGGAACAGGTTAGCTTGCACCACACACGATGGGTCCTCACCAAAACGCTGTGAGCAAACAGGCAGGTATTATTGGTCCCAGGCCGATGAGCCCAGGGTCACCCAGTGGTCGGAGGCAGCATGGGAACTCGGGTCTCCCTGGCCCGTTTCAGTATTTCATCCTCCTAACATGTAGAGCGCACATCAAAGTTACCTGCTCATGCAACTGTGCAAAAACGTACCAAGCTGCACAGACTTCCATTTCTCCTTTTACAACGGTGGTTACAAAACTCATCCCAACTAAATAACTCATTTTATTGGAATCTTTACCCAGACTCCTGCGCTATAAGTAAAATCTACAATAGACTGTAAATCATCTTCTATGAAATCTCCGAGATCTTCTTTAATATGATGATGATGATGATAATAATAATAATAGCTGCTACCATTTATTGATCACTGTGCAAAGCACATCAGGTACTTTATCTCATCAATTTTCTTATCCCCATTTTCCAGGGGGTGGAAACGGAAGCTCAGAGCATGTAAAGTAACTTGCTAAAGAGTGACAGTTCTAGGATTTTACCCCAGGCGCAACATTTGTGTTCTTTAGTAATTATGCAAAATTTCTCTTATTGAAGATATGCAGGGGCTCAAGTCTCTATAAGCTGTGATTTGCTTTAGAGCTTGTGGGAGTTTAAGCATCAGAAAGAAGCCATCCAGTGGTATGGCGAGATAGTTTTAGCCTCCTATGGAATATATACCCTTAGTTTATCCTTAGTTTACCCTTTGTTTTTTATTGTTCTCAGGTTTTTACTTTCTGGTCAAGAATTAGTATACAGCTATTCATGACCACATCCTTGTATACGTCAATGAACCACCTGGCTTTCACTAATGAAGGTGACTAACAGAAACACCTTCAGTAGGGTGTCTGGCACGCATGAGGTGTGTGGGTTTAGGTGGATCCCTTCATATCCCAACTGAGAGCTCAAGAGGGGTCCTGGGTGCAGGCTGGGAGGCGCCTGGCTGGGGACCCAGCAGCTTCCTGCGAAGGAGCCGGCCTTGTGATGTGGATGCTGTTGTACGGGAAAGCTGACCAAAAGTGATTCCCACTTTTCCTAGACTTGACAACCTTTGAGCCACCTTTGTGACCTTTGGCCCACCTCTCTATCTGCAGGTTGTATTTTTACATCACACTTTTTCTTCAGATCAACTTACACCGACTCACTTTTCTTTACTTAGCCTTGTCTAAGCAGTAACTCAATATTCATAAAATCATGGGTGCAATGAGCTAGTTACTTCTTTTTTTCCATCTCCACCTGATGAGGTGCAAGGGGGTGGGGTGGGGGTGGCGGGGAGAGAGAGAGAGAGAGAGAGAGAGAGAGATGTGTGAGAGAGGTGAGAGAAAACATTGATCAGTTGCCTCCTGTATGTGCCCCAACCAGGACCAAACCTGCAACCTTTTGGTGTACAGGACAACGCTTCAACCCAGCCGGGCAAGCTAGTTACATTTTTAGTAATACACATGAAAATAAATGCATAACAATTAAACTCAAAACTGTTGATGTGTGTGAGTTTATGTATCTGGTTTTGGAAAACACTACTGAATTGACAAGCGATAACTTGATACCGACTATCCTATGGGACTGGCATGGATGAAAGTCCTCTGTTTTTCCTGGTTAGTAGCATAGCCCCCTTCTTAGAGTTTTGATGAGGTACAAGTAAATGCACTGGTATTGTTAGTTACCCCAACACCAACAAAGTGCTCATCTATTATCAAACATCACCTCTGCTCCTGCTACAACAATCCCAGCACGCCAATTTGTTGTAATAAGGGCTTTGTCGTTGGCTCTGCTACTTCCCCTTCAATTACCTCTTATAAATCCTGTTGGGTTCTTTCTAAAATTAACTTGATACTGAACTAACATTATATTTTACTACACTTGCCCCCACCAAACCCAGGTGCAAGTATTACTTGGGTCTCCAGAGCTTGTGGGTCCCCTGGATTCATAAAATACTACCTTTCCACTCAACTGCTGCCAGAGTTATACCTATTATTTCAGTCAGCCCCACACCCTGGGGAGTGAGAGTCCATGCCCCCCAGAACGAGGCCCCGAGCTGCAGCTCTGATGTTCTCACCAGCCCCTGACCCACTCCCTGGGCTTGTGGCCACAGCATGGGGTGCCGTGAGCAGAGGTCAGTGTTCAGCTGTTGTCAGATTTCATCTCCCTCCAGAAAGAGCCTCCAGACCCTGCTGTGCCATGAGCAGATTTCTCCTTTCCCAAAATAGGACAAGAAAACCTGCCGTCAGCTTTCTCGACCTCCTCCAGGGTAGCTCTAAACACAAGAGGCACTGGAAGGGATCTTTGCTTTGCTGTGTGGGAGGGGAGGGGAGGTGCCACATCCATGGTTATTTTTTCTCACCTAAAAATAAAGCCCGAGTCGGAATGTGTGAAAACGAAGCGCTGAGACATATCTGGGAAACCAGCAACACGCACCGCCATCAAGAGCACCTTCCTGGGAGGTGACCACTGAGTCGGCCGCGTCTGGATCCAGCTCTCCGCCCCATCCTGGGCCGCGACGTCTGCCCATCATCCCTCATCCTCAAGCACCTCCCTTAAGACTAGAGTGCTTGTTAGGGTCTGATTCTGTGGGGTCAGGGGGTGAACTGTGACTCTACTCTTTTTAACAACCATGACGATAAGGACGAGGAGGAAGAGAATATCAACCTGCAGTTAAAGATGATCAAATGGACTGTCCCATTTAACCTTCATCTCAGCCTTAGGAGGTCAGTACCATTAATAGGCCCATTTCCAGCAGAGGAAGTATTGCTGGAGGTAAATTACTCAAGGCCATCTGACCAACAGGGGGAGGAGCTGCATTTGAACCCAAGTTTGTCCAACTCCAGAACCTGGTTCTGGACCACATGCCCCCTCATTGCTGGGGAATGCCCCCCCCCCCCCAAGCCAGCCCTTCCGAGTGTGGTGAGTCTGTCTCTGTTGGACTGCCCCTGGCTAATCTGGGAGGGAGCTGACTTCTGCTCAGGGCCTGTGCTCTCTTAATTCACTGTCCATTTTGGGGGCCACATTTTTCAGAACCACAATTGGGACACAGCATCTGACCTAGGATTTTTGTGTCCTATGATGTGATAATTTTTTTTTTTTGAGCCAGAAGTTGGGACAGAAACACGGTAAGGGATTTCCTGAATTGTTTATGAGGGAGAATTTGCTCAGTTCTAGAGACATTTGGGAGAAGGAGCCCAGTTACCAAAAATTCAATGGCTCATGGGGGTGATGGTAGGGTGTCTTTCACTTCTGCCCGCCTAGAAACCCTTACACTATTGTAAAGGGAGACACACACCTTCGGTCTGTGTGGTTTTGCCCTTCATGTTGGGGAGGGAGGAGAAAGGACACGAGCAATGCACAGCTCCCTGTATTATCTTGAACATGGGATGATGCATTTTGACAGTCAATTTTTTCTTCCCCATCGTCTAGAGCTCTCTATCCAAATTATTTCCCTGTTGTCCCAAAGAACTAAACGGCAAAAGCAAAACAGAGCATTGGCTTCACGGATGATACACAAGGCAGACAGCCAACAGATTGCTATTAAATTAACCCTGGGGCTTGACAGATCTGTTCTTCCTGACCCCGACTGCTTATGGCATTCCGTATTAATGCTGAGCTGGGGCAAATTACGTCTGCTAACAAAAGGGGTTAATCTCCCTCTCCACTAGGACTCTGGAGGCAGCTCCGAGGACAGGAGGGGGCACAGCCAGTTTGGCAGCTGAGCTCCATGCTTGGAAGGCAGAAGGTGGGAAGGTGAGGCACCGCTGTGCCAGGCAGTAGCCTAAAGCATCATTTAAAATAATAATTGAAGACACCGGGAGGTCACCCCTTAAGAGATCAGCCTAAAACAAATAAGAAGCCAGAGCCATAAATCACCTCAGCAGTGGAATGAGGGAATGGAGAGGGTTATGGCAAGATGCTAAGGGGTAGCAATGGGGCTATGCAAAAGTCATTTTCTTAAGCCCAAATTTGGAGGAAGCTTTCTGTAAAAAAGTCTGCATTTGCAATACAACATTAAAAAAGATTGACAACAACATACGTATACATATATATACACATACATATACACAATAGGGGAATAATACAATTAGGGAATTTTGATTTATCTCACTAAATCATTTATGTAGTGAAATTCCAGGTCAGTTAAAAACATAGTATGAAAAATTCTATCTAAAGTATGATCATAATGTTATTTAAAAATGTATACTCTGAAAATGATGAGTTGCCTGGTATGCTACCAAATGTTAGTGACAGTTCTATCTGAGTGGGTCTATCAATTTTTTCTTTTCAATTTTCAGTTATTATTTTCTTTTAATAACGTAGTGTTTTAGGATGGGAAAATATATTTTCTACGTTTATCTATCCATCTATGTATCTATCTCTCTCTATATAATTTTAGGTGAGAAATGTTAGATACAATATATATACAGTCTGTCCATAGCCACATAAAAGAGTGTGTTTGTGTGTGTGTGTGTGTGTGTGTGTGTGTGTGAGAGAGAGAGAGAGAGAGAGAGAGAGAGAGAGAGAGAGAGAGAGAGAGAGAGAGAGAGAGAGAGAGAGAGAGAGAGAGAAAGAGAGAACAGACAGGAAGGAAATATAGTTATTTCTTATAGGGCCGTGGTCGGCAAACTGCGGCTCGCCAGCCACATGTGGCTCTTTGGCCCCTTGAGTGTGGCTCTTCCTAAGTCTTAGGAGTACCCTAATTAAGTTAATAACAATGTACCTACCTATATAGTTTAAGATTAAAAAATTTGGCTCTCAAAAGAAATTTCAATCGCTGTACTGTTGATATTTGGCTCTGTTGACTAATGAGTTTGCCGACCACTGTTATAGGGGAATTAGATTCCAAGGTAAGCATGTAAGTTACCCTTTAGTGACTCTAGCTTGTGTCCATTCATTCA